TTTTGAACCAATCAGTTGTTCCATATCCAGTTCTAACAGTTGCTTCCTGTCCCACATATAGATTTCTCAGAAGACAGATAAGTTGGTGAGGCACTCCCATTTCTTTAAGAAAAGGTTTTTGCATAGTCAGTGAAGCAGAAGTAGATGTTTTTCTGGAACTCTCTGGCTTTCTCCATAATCCAGCACATGTTAGCAATTTGGTCTCTAGTTCCTCTGCCCCTTTGGAATCTTTCTGGGAGTTCTGGGTCCACATACTGCTGAAGCCTACCTTGGAGGATTTTGAGCATAACCTTGCTATTATCCCTTGCTCATGGATAATAGCTGGATTTTTAAAAAATCTCTTAAAAGTAACTCTAAATGGTTCCAAATGTATATATCTAAATTCTATAATATAGGGCCCATCATAGAGTAGGCCTTCTCTCAGCTTCTCTATTTTTTACTAGTAGGTCAAAATAAAGGCCTCTGAAGATTATCTTACAACTGCTGAGCTGGAAAGGACCCTATGGATCAGTGAATCCAGCCCCTGTCATGGAGGCACAATGGGGAATGAAACTCCCAAACTCTGGCTCCACAACCAGATGCCTAAACCACTGAGCTCATATCTTGAAAACCACACATGCACCCGTATTTGTGTCTATGTGTAAGTCTCCAATTGCTACCCCCCTCTAAAGCAGATCTATTAAATAAATGGGATTTATACAAGTGTTAACTTGCAATTCAGTGGGTCTGTTTTAGTGGACACAAACAATTAGATTTACTCTGTATATATTTCATATCCAGAAAAACGGAGAGCAGAAATGTGTGATAGTTACAATGTGTTAGTAATCCAGCTGCCGGCATCATTGCTGTAATGACTTTGCCATATTCTATGCCTTTAGGCCCATGGGCTAGAGAATCATCTCTTCCCCCCAGTCTAAGTGCTCAGTGCAATTATTCTCACCATTAGCAGAAGCTGTAATATAAATAACCCTTTCCATTGCTGAGATATCTGCATCATTTTAATCATGGGCATGCAGTGGGAGATGGAGAGAGAATAATGGCTTAACAGAAATATTGTTGGGTTATCTAATTTTTGTTACCTGGAATAACCTATGGATATTTGTCCCTGAAAAATCTAAGGGCCAAAATGACCAGGAGGATTACTTAGAGGAAGAAGTCACACTTTGCATGCACTGGAAGGAGTTGCAATTAGTAGGTCGGTGCAAGAGTATATAAATTAGTATCCTTGGCTCAGTTTCTGGCTCCTCAGGTTGAAATGATCAGATGGTGGAAAATACCTTGATCTGATATACTGGACAGTCATCAACAATGCAGGCCTAGATGGGCAAAAGATGAGATGGGTTGTGAAACAGGTACCTATGGTGAGAGTGATGCCTGACTGAGCTATTTCATGTTTTCTTTTTGCTAATTAGCAACGCATTGGGTTGTTAAACACCACAGTTTTGTATCCATCTTCATTCCTGCACCAGAGGCCCATCTTTTGAACATTTTTTCTGAATTGTACTTCTTATCAACCCTTCTCCTTTTTCTCTTCCTCCTCCTTTGGCAGTAAATGAAGAAATTTAAGAAGATACTGTATTTCATTAACCGCTCCACGCCAACTGCAGCATAGATGCTGGACAAAGCTTCATCAGTGGCACAGAAATTGCTGGCTTCTTCAGATATAATTGTGACTAACTCATTCATCTTGGCAGCAAGAACTAGGAGACACTCATATTAGAAGGTCAACCATGGAAAGCTGCACATGCCAAGCCATCCTCTTTCCATGCCAGCTTGGCAAAAGTGGTCCTGAAAAACGTCCCGGATTGCCCTTGGCAGACTCCTGCACTCACAGATGTGAAGAGAGTCAGCTGCAAGTCTTGGGCTCAAGAAGAGCTGTGTTGGGACAAATCAAAGACCTTGTCAAGCATTCTCTTCCTAGATACCTATGGAATGCCCAACAGTGGGGCTAGAGAGTGACAGTAACTCACTGACTATATTCACCATCAACTTTCATTGAGATTTACATGGCCTCCATTACTGGAGACAATAGCTCTCACCTGTGATAACCACTGATGACCTTATCGTTCACAAATTTATCTAATCTCCTTTCAAAGTCAGGCTGTTGTCACTGCATTTTGTAGAAGCAAAGGCCATAGTTCAGTTGTGTGCTGTATGAAGTGCTTCTTTATGATGATTGTGTGAGCAGGTGCATGTATGCAAACTGAAGAGGCACTACATTTATTTTGGCATTGGTCTCTCTCTCTCTCTCTCTCTCTCTCTCTCTCTCTCTCTCTCTCTCTCTCTCTCTCTCTCTCTCTCTCTCTCTCTCTCTCTCTCTCTCTCTCTCTCTCTCTCTCTCTCTCTCTCTCACACACACACACACACAGAGAGAGAGAGAGAGCACCTCCAACTTACTGTAATTGATCAGACCTCCAATTATGCCACAGTGATCTTGTCTTCTACCATGTTTGTTGTCACGGGTTATCAAGTCACCTCTGACTGATGGTGACTCTATAAATGAGTGACCTCCGGAATGTTCTGCCCTCAATAGCCCTGCTCAGCTCTTGCAAACTCAAGGACGTAGGTTCCTTCATGGACTCAATTCATCTCATATTTGTTCTTCCTCTTTTCCTGCTGCCTTCAACTTTTTCTCGCATTGTTGTCCTTTCCAGCAAGTCTTCTCATGATGGGCCCAAAGTACAATAGACTCAGTTTCATCATTTTTGCCTCTAGTGAGAGTTTGGGCTTGATTTGATCTAAGATCCACTTCTTTGTCTTTATGGCAGTCCAGGGTCTTGGCAAAGCTCTCCCCCAACAACATATTTCATATTAAATCAATATTTTTCCTGAGTGCTTTCATCATTGTCCACCTCTGCCATGTAGGCAGGTAAAAAGGGATACAGCTGTTCTCCGGCTCAGATCGGCAGTCCAGTCATTGACAGAGCACTGAAGTAAGAACCACATATTTCCAACCTGATTAGTTCCATAGCAACAGACATAATGGTAACTGCTGAAACCCTGTTTTTCATCTGGGGCCCAGATGCAAGGTCTTCCCTTGACCAGACCACACAGTCAGTGCTTGTGGGGGCTCCTGGTGCATAACAATGATACACCATTGACACTTTACCAGCTACTTGGCTGTGCTGGCACGGGCAGGCCACTAAACTCAGGATAAGGCTGAATGTTAAAATAAGTGTTTGGTTCCTTGAAAATGTTAAAGCCCTGAAATTTAAAGCACCCAAACATAAGTCAACTCTTTTTCTTTAGTCTTAAAAAATCTGTGCTCACAATGGACTACGATAGGGTTCCAGTTGTGTTCATATTCTGCTTGTGGGTTTCCTGTAGGCATTTAATAGCTGAGGCAAGACCCAAATGCTGGGAAAGATAGGTTCGAGCCCCACCTACCCGGCCTGCTCTTCAATACTGTGGCCTGTATTGTGTGTTGGGCTCGCGAGACAGGTTAGGGATTCTGTTGGTGTACTGCCCACCCTGCTGCGTACCAACAGTCTCCCTGCCTGAGCTGACGGAGGTAGTCTCGGACCTGGTGTTGAGGACTCCCAGGCTGTTGGTGCTGGGGGACCTCAACATTCATGCCGAGGCTCCCTTGACTGGGGCGGCTCAGGACTTCATGGCCACCATGACAACCATGGGGCTGTCTCAATGTGTCATCAGCCCAACGCATGAGAAGGGCCATACCTTGGACCTGGTTTTCTCAACGGGACTGGAAGATGGTGGTTTGGATGTGGAGGGGTTGGTTGTGACCCCATTGTCATGGTCAGACCACTTCCT